AGCATCTAATAGGGAAAATATCTGGGTGACATCAGTCGGCCTACTATACTCGCACCGCAGTAGTTAAATCGTATGAACATTTCATGGATTAGTTTTAAAAAAAAACAATTCAGAAAGAAAGTAAGTAAGCAAGTAAGTTTATTCAGTGTTTAAGGCCATTGGTCCACGTCACATCATATCAACTCTCATTTGATAAATAAAGTTTCCATAATGAATAAGTACAGGTTGTGCACATATCTCTTATCATGGGTCAAACATTGCATACTGTCAGTGTTTCGAGTCAGGCTGGGAGGAATTAACAATTTCCTTTGAATGACAAAGTGTGGGCAATAGAAAATAAAGTGAAATTCATCTTCAATTTAATGAGAGTTACACCTCTCACATAAGGGTGAATTTGTTAATTTCCACCGATAGAGATTTATTTAATAGACGGCCATGAGTTTTTAAAGAAGCTATGATTCGTCTGTTCCAATACCGTGGGAGGTTGGTGATATACTCAGCTGTTTCTTGAAACGGAATTGTAAGAGAGAAGAAATTATACTTGAGACAGACTTCTTCCTTTATGTTCTGCACTAATAATGAATGTAACAGCAAGTGAAGCCCCTATAACGGGGTTTTAAAAGTCCTTTATAGTTTTAAAAACATTTTTTTAGAACTCGATATATCGGCGCTACCGTTCACCGCTCTTCGAAAACCGATGACGGACGATCTGCGTGCGCAAGGGTGCTTTTTTTCTCCTCTACTCGAGAAATTGTTTTTTTTGTTGTTGAATGAACCGTCTTGTAAGTGTGGGAACTTTGCAACAATTGAAAACAAATCCTTGCTCATTGACAGTGGACAATACCTAGATACTCATTTGAAAATCCACATTTTTCTCTTACTAGTGCGTGAGCAGCCTGAAGCGAATAAAAAAGGGCACCATCATAAAATCGGGATTCCCAAAATGCTCCCCATTGAAATATGTTGGTTTGCAAGTACAAGTGTTCAGTAGAACATGATTATAGCGCACCCGCTGCAGCGGGACAATCTCTACAGCGGGACATTACCGGAATTCCCCTTTTTAATGTATATGTACACCCAATTAACTGGTTGAGTATAACTGGTCAAGGAAAGGCTCGAACTTGGATTCAGCGGGATAGATCGAGCGAGCTGTAGCTGGGGGAACGGGGTTGGGGTTTGGGGTTTGGGGGATGTAGGTGGGCTGCAAACAGGGTGAGTCGTTGTGGTTGGCCAGTCCAGTGATGAGTGAGGCGGGGCAGGCGGCAGAGAGAAGATAGTGCGGAGAGACACGTAACGTGAGCCTTCCCAAAAGTGATGTGCCATAGCCAAGGCATCCAAAATATTTAGCTCTGGTATCCTCAGCCGTAGTCCTAGGCCTAGGCTAGGCCAAAATGTCAGTAAAAGAAGAGGAGACCGTGTAGTGTGCCATTTTTCGGTAATTCCCCTTTCCATTCTTAGAGCGGGAACTTGCCTACAGCGAGATTTTTCTTCTGGAGCTAAAAATCCCGTTATAGCCATGCTCTACTGTAATACTTTCTGATTAGTAACCCTATGTGGAACGTAATATGTGATTTCTTGTTGTTCGTGTCCTCTTTTTCAGCTCGATTCGCCATGTCCAAAAACTTGAAACTGTATTGTGCGTGGTATTGCCCATTTGCACAGCGAGTATCGATATCCCTGAAGGAGAAGGAGGTGGAGTATGAGTATATTGAGACGGATCCAGAAAATAAAACACCAGGTGGGTCATTATATCTATCTATCTATCTATCTATCTATCTATCTATCTATCTATCTATCTATCTATCTATCTATCTATCTATCTATCTGTCTGTCTGTCTGTCTGTCTGTCTGTCTGTCTGTCTGTCTGTCTGTCTGTCTGTCTGCCTGTCTGTCTCTCTGTCTGTCTGTTTAGTCCATATATTATCATTCGTGGTATATTATTATCCTGTTATAATGGACCGAATCAAACAGAACCAACAGGTGTCCTAATATTTAAATTGAGCAAATTAAATGTACTTTGACATTGTTTCAAATCTCTTGCCACTTAAATTAATTATGTCCACTGTGTCTTTGTATGGACTCAGCCATATAGCATAGGCTGTTTATGAATCAAGGCCCGTGAGCTGGAAGCTGTTTCCCTGATTTTTATTATTTTTTTGTTAGTAGAGAGTTTTACGACGCTCACAACTGCATACGGTCATATGAGCCCCAAGGGGTGGGTGTCAACAGAGAAGTCTTTACAGAGAATCGGACTTACTCTGGTCACCTCTATAGCTTCAACAACACAAGGTCTGCTTCGACTATCGAGGCACCCCGGAAATAGCAGGTCACAAGAGTGTGGCAAACATACTAAAGAAGTAGGGGTAAAATGACAATACATGTAGTAAGGATTAGGAAAGAAAAGGCAGCAGTTCCCTGTTGTATTTCATGCACAGTTATGAGCGTGACATGATGAATCAGCCCATTTACAATTCTACTGTGCTTGAACGAGAAATGTCCCCCCTTTGGGGATGGCCTAAAGACACTTCAGTCAGTGGCACCGACCCGGGTTTTTTCCCCTGATTTACCTTTATGCATAGCGGTATGTACATGTAGTAATCACGGACAGTAAAAACACAACTCATATCCAGTCTGTGTAAAACAGAAATGTTACTGTATCTTATCTAGTCTTAACTGTTCTTAACTTTCATTCACATCTGGGAAATGCTGCGTGCACAAATTGATAATTTATTGTAGAGAGCTTAGGGTATTTTAGTTTTCGTAAGTGTTTTAGGGCACTTGCAACACAATAAGGTCGTATAAGTGCCGAAGATTAGAGGTGTTACAAGAGAGGAGCAAACAAAAAAGGAGGAGAGATAAGGACGATATATGATTGATAGGAAAGAAGAAGCAAACCATACCAGAGGACCCGCCAACCACCCATGTCTTGGGTCTGTGAACTTAAACGCAGTTAAATTGCTCATCTTTAAAAAGTATCCAACTTGTGAATGTATTGTATACGTCGACATTTTTCTTGTTGAAACCCTGGATTGACACTATTCTCAATAATTATTTGCCTGCGAATTTTTTCTGACACACATTTGCTAATCCTCTTTCACACTTTAGATTCGTGTTGAATTGATTGAGTATATAATTGTTTCGTTTTCTTTTAATTCCAGAATTTCTGGCAGTGAGCCCTAGAGGCCTGGTACCGTCCATGGTGCATAATGGCAAGCCAGTGTACGAATCCGGTGTTTGCGTGGAATACATTGACGAAGTTTGGAAGAAAGAGTACAGCATTTTACCAGAGGACGCTTACGATAGAGCGATGTCAAGAATCTGGGTAGGTACAAAAAGCGTAACCCCAAGATATAGCCATTTCGAAAACGCAGCTAGAGAAAGAAAGAAATGTTCTCACAGAAAATAACAATCTGCATCTAATTTGTCTGATTAATTTTTATTTTATCAATTTATGATGCTAATCCTTAGATCAACTTTAACAGAGACAGATTAATTGTATCATGAGCTGAATGTCCTGAGAGAACCCATTAACTTAAAAAGGTATCTAACTATTAGATCTATCTGAAAAGTGGAGGGCATCGCGCTTCGGCAGGATAAGCGTCTGTGATCGGGGGGAAACTTTTGCGAAGTTTTTGTTTAGAATGTTTCCTGATTAGTATATTTTTGTGCACTTGAAGTTATGTAAATCGGGGCTTTTTAAAAAAGTAAAGAGTTATGTCTCATCCATGTGTTAAAGTAAGAATCTCTCCCCCCCAAAAAAAACACCAAAAAAAATATAAAAAAAATAAATAAATAAATAAAAAGTATGCAAGAACAACCCCCCCCGCCAAACAAAACAAAACCACGACCACTACCATCAACAAAAGCAAAAGAACAAAAACAAAACAAAAAATAAACAATACAAATCAGCTCTGTTGTCAGTCTCTAGACTCAAGATATCTGACAATAATCAACACATGCACTAAGTAAGTTCTTGAACTTGTATTAACTCACTTGAGCCGGAGCTATTTTTCTCACAACAGTCATTGCTGACTGACCCTTTTGGGGTAGATTTATATTGAAATGTTAACCACAAAAAGACTGTGAAAGCTATCATAATAAAAAAAAAACGCAACTAGAGAAAGAAAGAAATGTTCTCACAGAAAAAAACCAATCTGCATCTAATTTGTCTGATTAAGTTTTATTCTATCAATACTTCGAAATGGCTATATCTTGGGGTTACGCTTTTTTTTTGCGCCCAATTAATTTATAATAACATCATCTATCGCAATGCAGGGGTGACTGACTTTGTCCGTTACATCTCAAAAGTGTTGCTCAAAACTTCGTCCAGTTTTTAACGAAGCGAAACAAGTGGGTCAACTTTTGGCTCGCAGCTTCCCATAGCTTGTAACAAAAAACAAAAGCAAAAAAAAACAACAAAAAACAAACAAACACAAAATTGAAACACTGGAGATATCGATCGATAAAGCGCATCCTATAAATACACGGGAATAGGCTAAAGTGAGTTAATCACAATGCCGTCATTACTTTTTCAAAGGCATCTGTCGTGTAACGGTTAGGCTCTTCATGTAGGCCTATGTTTGATTCCCTGTCGGGTCTATCTTTTTGGGCTGTTTTTTGTTTTGTTTTTTGAAAAATTCTGTCAGCTGGAATCGTTGTCTTCCTTTCAGACTAAGTTGGCCCAGAAAGCAGGTCCTTTTTTTTTTTGGTAGAGGGTTTTACGGCGCTCGCAACTGCATAAGGTCATATGAGCGCCAAGGGGTGGATGTCAACAGAGAAGTCCATACAGGGAATCACGCTTACTCTAGTCACCTCTCTAGCTTCAAAAGCACAAGGTCTGCTTCGACTATCAAGGCACCCCGGAAATAGCGGGTCGCAAGAGTGTGGCAAACATACAAAAGAAGTAGAGGAAAATGACAATAGTAAGGATTAGGAAAGAAAAAAAGCAACAGTTCACTGTTGCAGATCAGGCACAGTTATGAGCGTGGCATGATGAATCAGCCCATTTACAATTCTACTGTGCTTGGACGAGAAATGCCACCCCCCTTCCCTTTGGGAATGACCTAAAGACACTACAGTCAGGGGCACTGCCCCGGACAGGTCCGAAGCAGTACACCTCCTCCTCCTCCTAACTGACCCAAAGTGTGTTGATGGGGGCGTAAAAGCTTTGCTGCACTATAATTAAAATAATTTTCTTTCTTCTCTCCAGGTGGATTATGTCTCCAAGAAGATTGTTCCTCTCTTCTACACAGTTCTTCAAAAACAAGTGAAAGCAGAGCAGGAGGCGGCGAAAGAGATCCTGCTGAAAAACTTGGAAACCCTCACACAAGCCATGTCCAAAAAGGGCCCATATTTCAACGGTGAGCAATTTGGGTACGTCGATATTATGATGGTGCCCTTTTTGATTCGGTTCAGGCTGCTCACTCACTACCGTGGGTTTGAGATACCAACCACTGGCGTGTTTACCCGACTGCAAAAGTGGATGGAGGCAGCATTTGCAAGAGATTCCGTGAAGTCCAGTTTGCCTGAGTGGGATCCACTGGTGAAGTTTTATAAGAGCTATGCAGACAACACTGCCACGTCTGAAGTATCCACTTCTATCAACTCCGGAGGGGCTATTCCTTGAACGGAAGAAATGCGTTATGTTGTTGCGTCTTTTTTGATGAGTGTTTAGTGTATGTGTATATACGAGTGTGTTTGTGTGTGTGTGAGTGTGTGTGCGTGTGTGTGAGTGTGTGTGTGTGTGTGTGTGTGTGTGTGTGTGTGTGTGTGCCTGCTTGCGTGTGTGTGTGCTTCTGTGTGTGCTTCTGTGGTGTTTCGGTGTGTGTGT